CACGTGCCCACCCTGCAAAAAAAAAAAAAAATTAAAAATTTTAGGCTGACCAAAAACAAAAAATATGAGAATTTAAATGAATTAAATCTTGTGTAAAAAAATAATCGAGCACATATTTTTTATTCAAAGAAATGTAAAAATATGTTAAAAAGTTGCAACTAATGATTGAGCCTATTTTTTTTTTATAACTCTCAATCTTATATTATTCATAATTATTTAAAATTGATATAATTTTTTAAAAATGATGCAAACTTAGCCTAAAATTGATTACTATTATATAGAGAAAGACATTTTTGATAATATTATTAGTTGTCAGGGCCTATTCTACATGACTGTAGTTAGTCTCATTTTTTTGTAAATGATTGTAATTAGCTTATTTTTATTGAATATTGTTTGCATAGACTACTTATATTGGTATTTGACTCTTTTGTATTTAATGAATCTTTAAATATGGAACACGATATAAAAAAATATATATATACGACATTTTTTTTATTGATTGAAAAAAAAAATTAAATTTTACTTACTAAGTGTGCCCACTTAAGAATACATTTTTGACTCCGCCCTGACCATCAATGAATCGTCGAATATCTTATAATATTGAGAGAGAGAGAGAGAGCGGGGGGCAGAGATAAATGTGTCGCAACTCACTAGCAACAACAATTGACCTTAGTTTTTTCATTCACTAAAGTTATTCCAATCTTTTATAACACCCGACTCATCCTTTTAAACACGTATCTTCGCTCTGGGTTTTTCGTAGGTACAAGATAATTGTTGAGGTAAATATTTGAGGATAACTATAAGAGGAGACATAAATGCAAAACCTTGTCTTGTTTAGTAACACTATATAATAAATAAAAAAATTCTTAATCAATTGCCCAAATTTAAAAGGAATGACTTAAACATATTTATATTAATTCTTCTTTTAAAAGGCTCGAAATATATTGTCGATGTGTCGCAACTCACTAGCAGCAACAATTGACCTTAGTTTTTTCATTCACTAAAGTTATTCCAATCTTTTATAACACCCGACTCATCCTTTTAAACACGTATCTTCGCTCTGGGTTTTTCGTAGGTACCAGATAATTGTTGAG